CCTCTGCTGCGGCTGGTCACACATCTATCATCTGGCAAAATGTGTATAAACGAGGAAAAGAAAGCATCCCTTTCGTCGCTATGTCTACCTCTGCAGCCTTCGTCTATGCTGCCTGCACCGTTCCGAATCCTCTTTCCTTGGAGTCGATTCAACGTGCAAAAAATCTTCTCTTATTTGGTGGACTTCTCACACTTGGGATCATCCCATTCACACTAATGGTGATGAAAACTACAAACGATGCGCTACATGCAAAGGCCGCGGCAGTACAACGAAGAAGTAAGGAAGGATCGGTGACTCTGTTGGACGATGGGACGAAGGAGTTGGCGCGCACGTGGAATATCTTGAACTTCATAAGAGGACTCTTCCCATTAGCAGGAGCCTTCACAGGAATTTGTGCTATCTTATTCTGATTGGAAAATATGTATGTACAAGGCTCAAAAATCGCTCCGAACTCGAGTGCAGCCACTAGTCTTCTAGATAGAAAATCTCGTCTCTCCCCTTACCTCTTCTACTTCGCTCTATTCAAGCCTGAGGATGTTCTGTTTAGGTTTTTTGTGAAGCCTTTGCTCTTCATCCTATGATATCGTTTGTGTGCAACCTAGCCCGGTATACACCCGGGACGAGATGTCCTGGTACTCCTAGTTAATGGCCATGCCATATATCATCCGTATCCGATTCATCCTTAGTTTGAAACCATGTCAAACGCTCCTAATCAACGCTAAGAAGTCTTTCGCGCCGCTGGAGTAGAAACGAGAAACGTCTATAAGGCTCTTTTGGGGGACTGCAGTAGCAGGTGCAATGAGTTGGTATGGAGAAAGAATGGAAATGAGATGTTCAGTTTCAGAGACGGAGTAGTACAAGTTCGAGATCAGAGAGGACGAAATTCCGAGAGGCTCTCGACCTGAGAATGAGTTTCGGGGAGGGCGGAGGCCATACGTAATCGACGGGTGGCAATAATACATCACAAAGCCCAGCAAGAAGGCTACTATGTCACGGTTTGGGATGGATCTGAATGCAAATTCAACAAGGTTACAACAGAAAGAGCTTGGAAACACACCATAAACCGGGCGCGCTCCCCACGATTCAACCTCTTTATCATACTACCCGTCTAGATATGGGCGGAACCCAACCAATACCCTGCGTACTATATCATCAAAAGAGTAGTAGAGAAGAGGTGATTCTAGAAAGGAGTGTGCTCGTCAAGTCTGAGAATAATCTTGTTCATCGGAAGCACTCAACAGAGAGCACGGGCCTATGTCGGGATGAGAGACAGGAATACGAGAAGCCACAGTGGTAGGACCACAGAAAATTTGAGGCTTGGCGTTGATCTCTGAAGGTCTTTCAATGTTCTGGAGAGACATCTGAACCTAGAACATGTAATTAGGCAACAGGAGATCAGGAAGATTGAAAAGGTATGAACTATGGCTGCAAATTGGAGTGCTCCCTCAATGGAAGAAGGTAGTCGTTTCTTTCCAATACGGGATAACGAATGCGATCAGATTCCGAGTTTATATGGTTGTTTAGAGACTAAGGAGCTAAGATCGTCCATTATTTTGCCAGAAGGGTTCAAGAAGGCTCGACGAGGTTATCCCTGATATTGCTTCCGGTTGCTGTGCTATGTATTTTGGGCCAGTTTGTTGATTGTAAGATGGAAAAGGATGAATCAAGTAACGAAGCGCCCAAAGTTGAAAACGGCGCTCTTTCTTAAATTCTTTCTTTTTTTCCACCTCGGTGAAATTCAGGACTAAGGACGAAGAACATACACTAACATATACATCCAGGAGTCGACCTTACAGGACCAGGGGCAGTGTTATTTCACATCATCATTCCAAAACCCTTCCGTCGCATCAAATCTTAAAAACTTATATAAGTAGGTCAGCGTGAATTTCGCTCTTCCCTTCTTTCCTTTCCTTTCCTTTATTCTTACTTTCAACCATCAAACTCTCTGCTGGTCAGAGAATATTACGAGCATTGAACAAGCCCCAAGCCATGACTCGATTTCTTTTGATTTTTGTCTCACTTGTTATTTCGACTATGACACTTACGCATGCCACACCAGTTTTCCGTCGTGCACCAACGGAAGCTCCATTCATTGAAGGAGTAAACTCAAAGAGTCAAATTTTGGGAACACACGATGCAAGTCTTCTTCTTTCAGACCGTTCGAATAATTAACGCCTTTATTTCCCTGTATCAGCGTCCATGGATCTTGGGGTTGTATGGCGCAGATGCTGATTACCGGCGGATGTCCTCCTTCAGTAGGTGAACTCTATGTTGCGTGCTCTTCCAAAGCTGAACCCTTCCATTGTATGTGCATCAGAAACAAAATTTCATGGTGTAAAAATCGGCAAGGAAATATCGACCCAGTATCGCGAAGATCGTCGAACGCAGCTTGCCACTGTCAGCAGTGAAAAGGGCACTTTAGCGAAAATCTTTCTGTACGAAGAGGACCGCGACAAATGGGAAGCCACTGCGGAATTCAAAGCTCTCGAAGCTACTTCAAAACAGACTGACGTTGCTGCGGGAACGATTAGCGATTGGCCAGTGCATGGTGCGAGGCGGTCTATTATCCTGATGAAGAATGTAGAGGGAGAGGACCTCTTCGAATCGAATTGTTATAAGAAGGCCGCAAAGGATCCGAACAAGCTCGACAATTTGAATAAGCAGCTTTACGCCGAATTGCACAATGTGGTTTACCAGTTTGCCAAGGAAAAGCAGATACTGCATGCGTATGTACATCTGCTATGGCCCCAACCTACCAAGTGAATCATTCTCAATTCTATCTAGTGACTTTCACACTGGCAATTTTCGCATCACCTTCAGTCGCATGAACTGCAAAATCAAACGTGTCACTCTCATTGACTGGGGCTATCCTGGTATTTTCACTGTCAAGCGCGGCCTATCTCGGAAGGATTTCGTTCGCTGAAGAAGCTAATGGACAATACCATGTATACTGACTTGTTTGGTACAGGACCCATGGTTTCTTGCACGCTACAAAAATCGCCTATACGATGAAGACCATGAAGCCAATTAGGAGCCTATGCGTGTAGAAGTGGGTAAAAATTTCGTCATTATTTTCACAGTAGCTTAACGTTAACAGTCGTGCAGAACTCTAAGAAGTACCGTTACTCGTGAAAGGCATGGACCATGTTGTGGTGTCTTATGATGGAGCGGACATTTCGGTAGTGTAACAGACTACAAAGACAGAACTCAGGATTGGGCACGATACTGGGGTGTTAAGGTGTACCATCTCTTTCTCATATGGTCAGTCGATTTTCATGCAGATTACATGTCAGTCTTTCTAACCACGCGATATGGAGAGACGGAAAGAATTTCTGAGCTTACGAACACGCTTCCGAAGTCTTGATAGCTTGTGGTTTTCTGGAGAAAGTAGATGTCCTTTTGTATAATAGAGTGCAGGGACCATAGTTCATCTCTTAAACAAAATTCTAAGAAAAGTAAAACAAAAACAAGTGTCCCTGCCAGGAGTCGAGCCTGGGTCTCCACGGATGCGCTGAGTTGCCACAACGTGATGATCTAACCACTAATCTACGGGGACCTTAGCAATCGCAAGGACCGCCGCACTACAACCTTGCGCTTATCGATATCTGAGGCTATTATTCTTTCAGGTTGCGGTGCAGGATCAGGGATTAGTACCACAAAGGAGAACTTATGGGCAATCAGAAGGTTGAGCCCTGAGGGAGTAAGCAGGATTAGCGAAGTCATGAGAGGAAGCACGTTGGTTGATGTTACGACAAGAGTAAACAGTTCGCAGCAGCTCCTTTGAATGATAAGCACCGTCTGATATATCATGGGACAAGTTCTTGTTTTCGATGATACACAGGGACCACAACTTCAAGTCTTTCTGGTGCCCAAGAGCGCTCGATATCGTTTTTCATGAAGCGCTAGAAGATCAGTGCACTTGGGGAGAAGGTCAGCAAGAGTGTACTGTTGCGTCTCGGAGGATGATCGTAAACATCGACAACAGCTCCGTTCAGAGCATTAGGATATAGGCGATGTTGGAGAGGGTACCGTTGACCGCAGAAAGTCTTTCAGTGAAGGTGAATGGGACGGGACGACTGCTTAGGGACTGAGCCTGAGGGGAGAAAGTTGTGTATTTATCCAAAATGTCCTGAGTCACGACTCACAGGGTTCAAACCAGCAAAAATCACCGCAAAAAAAAAATCACGACGCACAGCAGTGATTCCCTAAGTAGTCTATGATGGTGGAGCATTTCTATTCCGTATTCGGCGTCCGAGTTTTCATCTGACGTGTTTGTTGGTAGAAACCTTGTGGAGCTTGATATGCGGAGACATGAGGAAGGAGAATCTGGATATCTAAAGTTCAAACGAGTAGATTAGAAGATAATCAAATCACAGTGAAGGGACGGACTACAAAAATCGAGTTTTGCCTTGTCCAATCGATTCTTGGAAAATGCCTTACGGTCCTCCTCAACGTCTAGCCAGAAGGTTATTCTCTTCAGCAGCAGGACACATATGATCACTTGACGGGGTTACGGTGTCACGGCGCTCCATATTGTGCTCGACCGGGGACGAAGTGCAGATTTTGAGGTGCGATCATCAAACACATGTGATGGCCTAAATACGTAGATCCATCCTTGGAAGATATCATAGCGAATTAGGGAATCAGGAGCGACCGCTTTCAAATTTGCCTGAGTGAATAGAGGAGTCCGGGACACGAAGGTATCACAGGCAGGTCTTGCCTTAATACCGTCTGTTGGAGAGGAACATATCGATGTCCTTCGTCCTAGACCCATTAGCATCCTTTCCAAAGACGAGCTCCTGTGGCGAATGTACGTTCCAGAGGTATGATGCTGGAATAAGATTCCATGTCGCACGGGATAGTATTAGTCATCTGTGTAACGGTAGAAGAACGCACGCACGCACTCGGACGCTGATGGGGTTCGGTAAATGTCAAAAAGATTCTTGCTGTGAACACCAAGCGATAATGTTAATGTAGCACGACATAGATTTAGGAAAAAATGGACAAATCCGGATTTGAACCGGAGACCTTTCGCAAAGCGTTATTGAATCCACAGTGCAAAGCGAACGTGATAACCCCTACACCATATGCCCATGTATTTGCTCCCAACCTCAGTAACTATATCAGTCTACTACCGAGAAATCAAAGCCCTCCAGACATGAAATATGTATCTAGCGATGATTGGTGAATGAGTGAACAAGTGAAATGTGATAGAGATATCAACACGTACCCTGGTGGACTAACAGATTGGGACGGGAAATTGTTTGGAGGTCGGGGTTTTCAACCGACGATTGCGAAAGGTTGCCTAAGCCAAAAATACTGTCTGTACCGCATATACGACCAAGTGTGACCATTGGCAACGTTAATAACGGTAATTCCAGTAACAATCGTTCTAAGAGATGCGATGTAAACTGCAGAGGACAAGCCAAAAAAGAGGAAACCCAACACCTCCAAACTGGTTCACCCGTGGGGACTACACGAATCTTATTGCCCATATTCAGTTTTCCTGCATCGCAAACAAACCATCCAGAGGCTTCTCATCAACCGGGAATGATATGCGCAGACGATATTCATGAATGAGCTGGTGAGGAGAAGGAAACATCGGAACGGATCCGAGTTCTTTCGGCAAGTTCCTCGGTGTTTGAGGCTGATCTCAGCTCGGCGTATCTCTCTTCTCCTCAAACTTTCAAGAAAGCTTCGCATTGGTAGAATATTTTACCTGAATACATAAACCTTTATCGGCGTTTTCTACATATCCTTCGGCCATTCACAAAAATGGGATCAAGGCTCCGGAATAATAACGTGTTTGTGACGCATCTGTTCTGGATAAAAACCCGCATGGTTGATTTACTTTTTTCTTTCTCTCTTTATAGCCACTCCGTCCCATGGCAAGATCCAGCCGTAGAATGCTCCTACCTTACGCTCTGCTTCTTCCCGGACTTTTCTGGCTTTCCGCTGCCGTATACACACCAATACGTGAATATTCTGGGACGGATTTCTTCTCAGAGTGGGACTACTATGGGTACATTGACAACACGACCTGGGGTGAGCCGCAGTGCGCTGTGGTTGTTTAGAATACCAATTTCTACTCAGGGAACGTCACATACGTCGATGAAAGCACTGGAACGTCGCAGGGACTGACGTATATTGATCCAAACACCGGACATGCGATAATCAAGGTAGATAATACGACGAACATTGCTGCTGCTCCAACGGTTAACAGGAATTCAGTACGTCAATCATTTTATCACTCCTTCATATCAGTACTCATTCTAGTTCTTGCAGGTCAAAATCACCTCAAAGGACGCCTATCCCATTGGTAGTCTCGTCGTAATTGACGTGTCGCACATTCCGTATGGTTGCTCAGTAAGTTTTCACCTACCCTTCTATGATTCCTTCTAAGGATACCCAGGTCTGGCCTTCGTTCTGGATGCTCGGCACCGACCTTCTCTGGCCCCTCGCCGGTGAAATTGACATCATCGAGGCTATCAACAACCTTGGTTCAAACCAATACGCCCTCCATACTACTCCCGGATGTTACTTGGCGACAAACTCGGTCCAAACTGGGAATACCATCGAAACGGATTGCTCGACGGGTCAAGGATGCTTGGTACAAGAAACAAAACCAAACAGCTTCGGAAGCGGGTTCGCACAAGCGGGTGGAGGTGTTTTCGCTACGCAGTTAGATGTTAGTGGGATATATATGTGGTTTTGGCCGGTGAGCATCGTACCTTTATCTTATAATACTCCAGATTGAACTAATCAGCCCCGACGTTTACTAACGTTCTCAGCGCTCGAGTCTTCCTGTATCAATATTACAAGCTGACAGCGCTTCGACCATGAACCTGACGGATTGGGGCACACCTACCGCTTCGTATCCCGCTAGCGCGTGTAATATCACGCAGTACTTCCAGCCCCAACAGCTCGTGCTTGATATAACTCTTTGTGGCGTATGGTGGGTTCTTCGTATTTTTATCTCTTTTCCAGATCATCTGTTGACGACAGTTTGTGTCGACGATTACAGGGCAGGCGTGCCATCTATCTACAACTCGACAGGATGTTCAGGTCAATGTGTGAGTCTTCTATACGGTATCTTCTTTTGTCCGCTATTGTCATTGCCCCGGAAGTTCTGTTCGTCATCCCTCATATCCCAGTTCCTTTCGCATTCCGAATTCATGCATCCTCCAATTACTAATGACCCTTGTTTCCCGACCGTATATTTAGATCGACAACGTCATTGGAACCGGAAACCCAATCTACAACGAGGCATATTGGGATATTACCTACATTCGAACATACCTCGCCACCACGACTACTACCACCGATACTGCGGGAAACTCGACATCATCTCTTTCTTTTTCATCGTCATTATCATCTGTTTCCACATCGACTTTGACGTTCTCTCCGAGTGTAAGTAGCACCGCTGGGTCCGGTACAAACACCGTTAATGCTAATTCAGCGGCGGGGGTTTTCGCCTTCACTGGTCGCTTGTCGTGTATACCTTGGTCAAGTGTTTCGATCTTCTTGTGGTTTGGTGCTTGGATTCTTCGTTTATGATCCTCATGTTGGTACATGTCCTCACGTTTATGTCATGACGAACATTGTTTGGTACGCTCAAACTATAATGTATATATATCTTATGAACGGAGGTCATTATTGAATGAAAAGACAAGGGCTCGATTCAGACGTTCCCAGCGAATGCTGATTACCTTATTCAAGCTTTAGGTTGAGGTCTTTCGCCTCCCCAAGATACTGCTAATCCTTTCCTTCGAGCAGGTACTTTGGGCTCGCCTTCATTCTCTTTCTAAACCTTGCGATCATCATTGCAATGCTGCGGGTATATGCTTACACATCAATATCCCGTTACACTTTTGTTGGATTTAGCTCAACGAGCTGTGGGTCGGCCGTGGGCTTGAACTCTATGATAGCGATTTCATGATGGTGATTCGTGGGCGTACGGAGAACATTTCGCTCATCCGAGATCAAGCTCAACCGACATTTCGGAATATATCTTCATGGTGATGCAGAATGACATTAGTTCGGTATTCCACATACGCATCATCATCTACTCGAGTTTAAAGCCCGAGCCGTTTTGTGATTTTGTGAGGTTATAGAGATGGGTCTTCGACGTGTTTTTCGGAACGGTATATGATAATTTGGATACTTCCAGGCTTTCACAAAGACAATGACAGTTTCTACAGATCAAAAAGACAGTACGAATTAGAGAAAGGGTCAAAAACTAAGCACCGGACAACCGCTTGCCCAGAGACCATACACGTTGTCCAAAGCTTGCTGGAGGCGTTACGAACTTTGGTAGTGGACCGGGTCCGTTTTCTTATGTCTTCGATGTCGAAAGTGCGAAGTTCAGGTTGTGTGGAGTAAGAAAGGAAACAATTGTGCGTACAATATCGACGCGGCCCATAACATTCTTATCAATCTTTCTTCTTCAAGTACAGTTCAGTTTCGAAGACTTTGGTCTTGGGCGCAGGTAGATTGATAGCTTGCGCACGCATACCAATCATCGGTAAAGGAGTATCACCCTTGTAACTGGAGATTTGGTTGGAGATTCGGTTGAAGACATCGCTAAATCGGTATTTCTCGAATTCATGCTCACGTCCCGCTTGAAAGAATTTCATCATATCGATGATTCTCAACTTGTGAGTCTCATTGACGGTGACACACTGGTTGGGGTCAAACAAACCCCATTCGTTAACGTTTTCAGCTATACTAAGCAGTCAGTCAGCAATTACAGTACTCAAATTCACATTTTCTGGAAGCTTACTGCAAGGCTCGGAGCCAACAATGACATGACGCCCTAAAATATCATTATCAACTTTTGCTTCATGTTGAATAAGATATCATAGATACCTTGGTCGGTGGGGCCGATATGATTTTCCTGTATGAGTTGGCTGACTGAATTAATTTTGACATCAGAATCGCAAATATTCTTTTCAGCCTTCCAGAATTTGGAATCAGGATACTTCCTATTCAGCTTGTGGCCAGCGGTGAGCGAAAGGTAAAGACTGGGAGGAAAACCGTTCTTTGAGTCCCTCCAGCGACACGCAAGCATCTGGTTTCCGCTGTCCGCTAAAATCATGCAACGATAAGCTTGGGTATGTCAACAGAAGACGACGGTGGAAGACAAACTAATGCAGAGGTTGAATTTATTTCCAGCACGGTCATTTCCAGGTTCGAAGGCCCCGACCTTGCGTTGATGCTGAATCCAGTGGATATCGTCAATGGTTTTGATAAGAGCACACAGCAGTGCGTCAGTCGAATCGGCGTGGAAGGGAATTTGCAAGTCGCAAGCCAGGAACTGTCGACGCTCAAACCAGATTCCTGCCTTGACAAGATCGAGGTGAGCGAAGTAAAGGGTTGCCAGATGTTCGGTGTCAGTGTTGCCTCGTATATTAAACACATAGTTGGAGTTCGGGACGGACGAGGGTAACACGAGGCCTTGTACTACCATTTGTAATTCGGATATTCTGCTTATAACGTCGGATCGCTATCGACCAGGATTCTTTTAGCTCGAGTCATTGAAGCACAAAAAAAAGAGGCATACGAAGAGAGGAAAGTCAGCAACCTTCCCGTTGTGCATGAACGTCTATTCCCCGAAGATGAATGGATGGTTGTTCACTTCCACAGAGGGAGGAAAACTGGCATTTCTGATATGCGCCAAGATGCACTTGGAAGCGGTATGTGCGCAAAGCTGTTCAAACGCAAGATCGGTGGAAATCGGCGCAATGGTCCTGAAATGGGCGGGCCGCATGCCTTTGACGGTGGTGGGATCTGGTGAGAACTCTTTGAATGTGTCGGTGTACCATCCTACTCCAAAGCCGTGGACATTGACCCACGTTGCCTCTGAGTCGTATGATAAGAAAAAGCAAAGAAAACTGGAACTGAGAAAGATAACTAACCTGTCTCAAGCTCTTCTTTGTCATCATCTTCCAGTCCATAGCATAATCCAGGCAGAAAACGTTCATGGACTCTGAAAATGTCAGGCATCAGCAAAAAATGTGATATACCCATCGTCGACAAGAAACGTTAGCATACTGTTTGACGATCTGTAGGCCGATGTTAATGTTATATGTGG